GCCGCGCCGCCCGCCCAGCTCCCGGCGAGCCCCGCGGCGCCTTGGGGCGTACCAAAGTGCGGCAGGCGCGGGGGGGCGAGGGCGGCAAGCGGGTGTCGGACCGCTCAAACCATCGCCCAGCGCGGTGACGGGGGAGCGGCTGCTGCGGTGGGTGGGAGTCGGGCGAGTAGAGATTTATATTTTAAAATATAAATGGTTTATATACGGGCGTCAGCGCCTCCGAGTTAGAGACTGAATGAGTCATAAAGACCCCAAAAATAAAATAAGAAAAAGCCCCAAACCTACGGCTCCAAGGTCGGTTTTTCTGGCGGCCGCTCGGTCCAGGCTCAGACCCCGCAGGACGAGGAGTCTCTGCTTTTACTGTTACCTGCCCAGGTCACCTTCCTCACCGCGACGAGATCTTCAACGGTCTCTGAAACGCCTCGTAGTCACGGATTTCTGTGTAATTGATGCGGTGCATGAAGTCACCGGTGACGGAGCAGCAGCCCGTGGCCGGCTGTTCACCTGCCTGTGGCTTCCCTTGCAGAGTGAACTTTAAAAACACCTGGATTTTAAATGAGCGATTACACAGTAAAAAAACCCAAACAAACACCAAAACCAATTCTTAACTGTCACACCTGGAAAGGATTTCTGATTATTTCCCCACTTTAAGCAGTTACACATCTACAGTAATCATTATACTGCTGTGCTTCTTGAACACAAATTGTGAAAGTGTATTACAATGAGTTTTGTACCATCTCCCTTGAAAAAAAAAAAAAAAAAAATCAGCCTCAGTTAAAATACCATGTGGGCATAGCAAAACAAAGCCTCAAGCTGGGAATTAAAACTGACTTCAGCTCCTGGCTTTGCCACAGACTGACGTGAACTTCCAAGTTTCGAGCTTTCTCAGCGGTGGAGTAGGAGCTGTCCTTACTGCCGTAACACGGTGCTTTGGTTCCTCAGACAAAAACACGCTTCTGTAAGATCAGCATTAAAGTATAATCTATTATTATTCTTTTATTTAAAAGATAATTTCCTCTTTAAAAAGCCACATACAAATCAAAATTACTCATGGTATGTTGTTTAAAAATTCACTTTAACTATGCTAGCGTGCCCTTTGACTCTTGAATATCTGAGAAGACCTGCAACCGGATTTCATTTCAGTCCTACTTCCTGACCTCAGCCAGCTTCCTGTGACTTGAGGGCAGCTAAACTGTACATACAAAAGTTCATAAAACTTGACTTTTAAGAAAAATTTCATCAGACCATCAAGCCACTCATTCCTGCAGCCCACTCTTGCCACATCTGCAAGTTATTCCCCTTTCTCTGCCCCCACCCACAGAAGAGAAGCCAATATGGACAAAACCAGACCAGAGGCAGAGGTAAAAATATGAATTTTAATTCAGAGCATTTAGTGTATTTACAATAGAAAGTTTCTCTCTGGTCAAGGGACAAGAGACTAAAAAAAAAAAATATAAAAAAATCCACGTTACAAATGTGTGGACAACCTGCACCTGATGCAGGCTAATTGATTTTTGCTACTTCTGCTTCACCCAGGGTACTACCTGTGGGAAAGTGATGGTGGGAGCCTGGAGACAGTACCAATGGCTCTCACACCCAAGTAGCAATCACAGAATGCAGTCCAGAAAGTAGTGTGAAGTTATTCAACAGTTGCTAAAATACATATATATATATATATATGTACACATACACAGTCCCATTTGCAGTTAGATCAGATTCAGCAAATTGTTCAGAGATAGACAAGCAGGTAGACACAAGCCTACTGACCTGTGTGTGAGCATAGATTTGCAGAGGCACTCACACTACCACCCTTCTGAGCACCACGCTTCTCACCCAGACACACGCACGCATTCCTTGCCCCTCTGCACTTGGACAAACACACTGGCAGGTATTTTGTTAATGCTATCTTACATCATTTCTAGGCATGGAAAACAAAAACTTGAGAAAAAAGCACCAACCCTCTCATCTGACTCACTGGCTCAGAATCCTTATTCCTCTTGAACCTGAGGGAAGTGGGGTTGTGGAAAGGATAACATCCTCCCATTTCTCACTGAGCCTCCACTTCTGAATCTCCATGACTCTTTTGCCACAGCGATAACTAGTTGATACCAAAAGGGGGCAATCCTCTCCTGCTCCCAGGAACAGGCACATCCTCCCACCGCTTCCCTTGAGTCAGATGAAGCAATCAAAGGGCTGCAATGTGAGCCAGTTCAACTGTCTGATCTTGCAGAAAAACAGATCTGCAAAAAGCGAGTACTTTGCCATCTCAACAGCCAGCTTAACCAAGTCACCCTACAAGTTTACCCACCGCATGGTGGGTGGAGCACCTGTTTCAGCAACAACTTGTCCATAGAGCAGCTGATCTATCAAGTCACTCTGAGCTCCTGTTTTCATCTTGTTCAGAGTCCACACACCACTTCCTTTACAAGGTGCTTTCCCTCCTTGGGAAAGGAGTTGTTGCAGAGGTCTGTCATGGCTTAAAGGTGTTGAACTACATGGTGGTTGAGAAGCAAACCTCAGCCTTCCTCCAGCATAAATCTGCTCTGCCTCCAACAAACCCAGCTAAGAAGTGTTAGAAAGATAGGGAGGTATGGGAAAAGGAAGACAGAAAAGGAAGGGAGCTATGGTCCTCTCTTGAGAGTCATAGTAAGGGCAACTAAAGCAGAAATAGATTAAAGATGGCTGTGGAGGCTGCAAGGTTGAGGAGAGTTCTGGTTTAGCAGAGCCTCTTGAATAGCTTCACTGCAGCCACTCAGCTCCATCTGGTTGAGAACACAGCTGATGTGCTCCACAGTTGCAGCATGGCCCATGCGCAGTTTCCACAGTCTGAGCATTTCATACTGGGCATCTCGTAAACGCCGATGCTCCATCTCAATTCGCTCTAGATCATAGTCACTCAGACCCAGACGCCTCACAAACTCTTTCCACCGAGATGGTGGTACATGATCCACCACAGTGTAGAGAATAGCAGGATCTGTGAAAAGAGAAGAAATAAAGCGTGAGAACCAAGATTCTGCAGCCTCAAGGAGAATGCAAATAATGCAGGGCTGGATGGTGCCCTGGGATAGTGCATTGCCCCCTCCTGTTCAGGTCTTCTACAGAGTAGTCACACAAACTCCTGTGATGTCCAGACTTGCTCTTAGCCCTCGAAAATCAATGGGAATGCTTCCATATGCTCTTGTGTAAGGTTATGAGCAGAGCTGAGCATGCACGCTTAGGGCCTTGCTGCCACACATTCCTGCAAAAGGAATGCTCTGGGTCATCATCCCAGAGGCATTAAGACTGACAGCATGTCGCCACATACAACAATCCATTTTGCTGGTAGGGAAAAGAGACAACAGAAAGGCCTTGCATAGATAGTTAGTATGTACAGCCTCACAGGCTTTGGGCATGCTTCTGCCTTTGTACTGTGCCATGCATGAAGTATACACACAGGTCATGCACACTGGGTAAGGTCTGTCCAACATCCTCCTAGCCGCACCTCCATAATCAGGTTCTCATTTGTCTGGGGAAGGAGGGAAGGACAGGGGAGTTTCACTTACTGTCTGGAAGCTGTGTCCTCCTGGCAGGTCTGACACAGTCTGGTAGCTCATGTGAACTTTGCGGCAGAGGTGCAGGTGGTGGTGTTGCATTCACTGACAATTCCATTTCCTTCTGGGACTCAGGAAGAAGGATGGAAATTTCACTTCTTTTTACCTCAACCTGAAAGACACATTTTCTTAGTCCTGAATCACCCGCAGCAGCACAATACACCTGTCTCCTGCAAGGAACCACTAGTTTTATATAGTAAAATTTATCTAAGATAGGTGGGGAGCAGGTGCTGAGGTGTTAGCTCTTCCTATATGCTTTGTCTGAGCAGAAGGCACCAAACATTTCTTTCCAGCAGAACCCAAGGAGTTTAACTCTCTCTTGGCATCAAAAAACAGTAGTCTGGAAAAAATATTTCTTTACAAAATCATGTAAGGCTGGGACCCGAAATCACCACCATTCTAGAAGCTCCACGTGCCACCTTTCTCATCAGCCTTCTCTGTAAGGCTGTGGAAACCCCATCTCAGCTACTGCTTGGGCCCTCTTAACTGCAGAACAACATTGGACCTTAGAGAACACTGTGGAGCAGCACCAAGAGGCTTGTGTGGTCAAGACCTCAAGTAAAATTAGTTAAATCCTCCAAGCTTGGGGTATATAGGGAGAAAAGGGGATTAAGGACCAGCTATCTGAAAAAAATGCATCCAGAAAGAAAAAAAAGAAAAAAGCCAGGAGTTTGAAAAGCATCCACTAGAAGAGGGGAAGTAAAATGTTAATGGCTCCACCCTCTACAGGAAAAGACTTCTGAATTAAACAGCCCTATTACTCAGCTCATTTGAAAATACAAGGCCTAAAAACAGCCCATGTGGAAAAATGTTACTCTGGATCCCAGGCTAACATAGTTGAAAGCGGAAAGAAAGCTCTTACACCCATCATCTTGCTTACCTCAGGTACTGGCTCCTTGGTTGTCTGTGGCAAAGAAACTTTAAAGAAAAAAAAAAAAAGAAAAGAAAGCAGAAATTATTTTCACTTCCTCACATCCCAGAGAAAACAGGAAAGCAGCTATTCGCAATCCTACCCTCAAAAAGGTTTTATAGCAAAATGCACATCTCCCAGCCATGAGCTCACACGCGCTTCCAGTCACAGCTACTGGCGTGGATGCAGAGTTGTAAGAACTGCACCAATAAGCTTAGCTGTCAAGTTCTCATGTTCCGCTGGCCTTGCAGCAAAGCCCAGTAACAGGATTCCACTTTTCCCCTCACACACGTGTAAATACACAAACACACAGAGGATGATGTCTATCCCCATTAATATCACTGCATATGCTGCTGTACTCACCACAGGAGTAGAAAGATGATGCTATCCCATTTTTCTGGACCAGCTTCACTATTTTATTTACAATGTAGAGGACAGAAATAACTCCAAATATTGCAACGATGATGCCAAGGACAAGGCTCCCATCTAGTCAAAAGGAAGAGGGCAAATGAGTGAGTGACTGAGAAAGGAGGAGGTAAGTGCTAGAAGAAGAACAGCAAGTGAAGACGTGCAGATGGTAGGGAGAAAAAGAATAATGGTTTGAGAGAGTGGAGAAAATAACACTTTACAAAAGGCATTAACAGAACAAAAGCCCACACTGAAAAGATTCCACTGTCTCTCAGTTCCCCCAGTACTCACTCAGCCCAGACGGAGTAGGTGAGGTAGTCACTGGGCTATGACACTGCAAGCATTCTTCTCCAATGCAGCTGAAAGAGCGAATCAGAGAGGAGAGCACGCATGAAATGAAGCACCAGTCATTTGTGACAATCCTAAGTAACAGACAAGTCAAGATGAGCCTGCAAAGCAGAGCAATGCAGTGTGGCTAGTGACTTTGGGTTCTTAAGTGGGCTGACGCCTACACGGAGAAGACTGAGGGTGGCAGAGGGGAAGACTCAATTGCCCTAGAAAGGCAGAATGTTGTAAAGTTATGTCAAGATGGACAGAGCCCTGAGAAAAAAATTTCCTCCCCCTGTGGGGCTTGTGTCTACTGTGTCTCCTACTCAGTGGAGGGGCATACAGAGAAAAAAAGCTCACCTGTTGCAAGGCTTGCAAACATTACTAAGTGTCAGGAAGAATCGAGGCTTACACCTGCAAATTGTGTCTCTGTTCTTTGAGCCTGTAAAGAAAAGAAGAAACTGTTGCCATAAACTGGACAGAGAAGAAAACAAAAGGAGAAAAATCCACTGCAAGATGGGTGGGAGATTATCCCTCTTTGAGCCTGGAGAACTGCTACTGAAGAAGAGAAAAAGGATTCGGTCTACGTTTGAGGACAGGGTTGAGGGAGGATAAAAATAATAAAAAATAAGGGTACCACTGTCCTGGTAGGTGAGGGACCTCTGTAGAGGCTTGGAAAGGGACTAAAATTACAGTGCAGCTGAAATTGGTCTAGTGGATAATGACAGTTCCAGTGCAAAAGCAGGGAAAGTCACTCAAGTTCAAGCACGAGAGGAAGGTGAAATCACATTAGTCAGGCAAAGATGAGGGAGAAGTGGTCCCTGAGCAGCTGAGACTGGTGAGGAAGTCAGTTCAGGGCAGGGAGAAATCACTTCAAGCCATGGGACACACATCCACTCTTATGATCTGCTATGCTGTGAGTGGAAGGGGTAAGAAATGAAAGAGCTATTGCTTCTAAGCAAGTCACAGTATGGAGACTGAGTAAAACAGGTGTGGGGAGGAGCAGACAAGAATAGTGATGGAAGGACATAAAGTTGCATGAGGGGAGGGAAGTAGGTACTAGAACAAGCAGCGTGCATTCTGTGGCAAATGAGGGACAGGACTAAAACAGTTCAATGTCAGCCAAGAGGGAAGGAAATTGCTCAAGGGCAGTGTACGATGATGACCCTTGAGGATAGGTGTAAGCGTAGAAACTGTGACAGAAGAAGATTACTAAGCACCAGAGGGAAAGCATTCACCAGCAAGACAGCAAACCTCACACTAGGCAGGGTAGGAGAAAGGAAAGGGACCAGAAGAAGCAGAATTTGCGCAGAAGAGGGGATAGCTTTAGGACAACAAGGTAAGGAGTATTTAAGGGACATGAACAGAATTAGCCTACAGCACAAAGTGGAGGGCGGCAAGCAGTATTTGGTTAAAATCTCCGATTCCTGACTGGAGATGAGGGAGCTTGGGACAACTAACATGGGTACTTCTCCCAAACACCTGCACCATCCCCAGGTCCCACCCAATGCCACTGGGTACAGTTCAGCATCACCTGAGCAGCTATTTACTTTAAAACACTGCATAGTACACTGTGGTGGTTCAGCAACTGACTGACAAGCAGTTCAGCTGGGCACTGGAACCAGTGGTATTTTCAGCCATTGTACTCAAAGTGCTTCCAGCAGTTGGTGAGGGAAATGCAACGAGCATCAGGAGAAATATCCACACAAAGACAAAAAAAGAAGGTAAGGGGGAAACCTGCTCTAGAGCATAAAGAGCTTGCTTCAGTACACGCAAGGCAGACGTACCAAAGATAAGTAGAAAATACCTCCTCACAACAGCCAAAACCGAGAAACCATTCAAGGGCAAAAGGAAGGTAGAAACTGTGAGACAAAACAGGAATCATTGCCAAGGCAGGCAAAAAATGGCAGCCTTTCTGGGGAAAGGGGGCAGGCAAACCCAAGAGTTGTTCCAAAACTACAATCACTTCAGGGCAAGGCGCTGCAGTGTGTCAGAAAGTGGACAGAGGGCTGTTATTGTCTACCCTAGTACAGTATGTCCATATCCATGCCATACTCACAGTTGGCAATAATCCCATTGACACACGAGCTGCAGTTCCTACACTGGAAGAGATCGGACAGGCCAATCTGATATTGATTCTTCCGACAGCCACATACGGTATCTTGCTTTGGGCTGCAAGGGGTCTCTACTATCTGCTGGAATTCTGAGGAGGGGAAAAAAAAAAAAAAAAAAAAAGAAGCAATTATTCCAACCTCTTCCCTCACCTGCAGCTGAGGGCACTGTTATGATGACACATACTGTTACCCCCTAATCTTCCCAGAGAAAGGCCCAAAAGGCCTGCAAACTGTGTCTCAGACTGTAGTAATTTGGTAACTCTTATTCCTGCTGTCCCCAATCCCTTCCCATACACTGTCCCTCTGCCCATTCAATGGCTTACTTTCCCAAGCTTCCTCACTCACCTTACCATGCCCTCCAGCCCCCCACCCACAACTACCACCCATTTTCCTCAAGTCCTGTAGATAACTCACCTGTACGGCAACGTGTACACTGGAAGCATTTAGACATGGTGTTATCAACAGCTGTGAATGTGCCATTAGCACACGGAAGACAGACAGGTGCCTGGTCAGGCCGATCACAGTCTTTTGCCTTGTAGGTACCTGCAAGAAAATCACTTAACAGAGCTCTGACAGGAAAGCAAATGTGTTGTCTTAAGGAGCATGGGAGTCACAAATTCCTCAGAGAAACTCTGGAGGTGGTTGTGTAGGGACTGAGGATGCTTCCTCTCACCAGCATGAAGGACAGTGACAGCCCAAAAGAAGAGACAAGGAATAAGAATTCATCTGGGCTGTGATAGCTACCAAAGAAAGGGAGCACTGACGCAGCTGAAGGACAGAGACAGTTTCAGAGTGCAGGACAGGGAAATACCTCTAAGGTGAAGGTCACTATTACTGTACTTATTGTACATACCTGCATGGCACCTCATGCAGCAGTGGGTCTCTCTGGGATGTAGGTATTGTCCTAGTTGACACTGCACCAGCCTCTTTTCTCTCCTCAAGGAGTTAGAGTGGTCTCTTCCATCCAAAGCTACGCGATGGACTTGCAGTGTATATGGCACTGGAGCAATTTCTACAGATTCCTTCATCAACACACAGATGAATGTTAGGATAACCTGCAAATAGAGGGAAAGGGAGAGAGAGGGAAAGAAAGAGGGAGAGAAACAAGGTGAGAAAACATCATATCCCCTGGCAGACTGTACAGCTGACTTCAGCACTTACAATTAAATTTTATTATAACAGTGAGTTCAGTTGACTTGACCAATTCTGGTATTAGGACCTTCCACTGACAAAAGCGTGGGGGGAGATTATTTACCCCAAAAAATCCCGACATACCCATGCCTGTCATCTGTGTTATTAATATGCCATACAATGGTCTCTATGACAAACTGGCTGTATATAAAGCAAATACTTTTTGTGATGTGCAATTTATAGATGGAATGCCTTGAAAATGCTGCAGCTTGCAAGAAAGTTATTCAAGAGCAAAGGAATGTTTCTATTAAGGAAGGCAGTAAGACTGCCCGTCTAGAAAAAGTTCCAGAGAGAAGAATGCATCAAGTACTTGCAGTTCTAATGAAGAAATAAACCAGATGGGAAGTTTGGAATAAGAAGGCAGAGGAGGATCTCACTGATGCAAAGTACAGAAAAGCTTCCAAAACTCCTCCTGAGCAAGCCAGCCCTAGAAACGTGGGAAAGTTTGGTTTTCAACTTCTCCCCATTAAATGTACATTCTTCCTTTTAAACTGCAGCTGTTAACACTCAGTCTGAACAGCCTGCCACAAAAATGTGCACTTATTTCTTTAATTCCTGTAAGATTTACTTGCTAATTTTCATTTTGAAGATCATTGCTGTCAAGAATTTTAATGGAAATACTAAGACTGGCATGACTGCAGCATGACTGTAAGAGAACGTGAGCGTGTGTATACACACAAGTACACACACGGGAAGGAACAGCAGAACAAAGGGTTAAGAGAACAGCCCGTACCAGTAATGAAGGACACCATTCCCTGGATATTGTTTTCAGGACACTATTCCCAGCAGCAAAATTGAGAAATGTGCTGTTTATGTCATGGCCAAAAGGTCTACACTGTGGTAAGAAACAGCATAAATGACTCATCAGCAAAAGACCCTGCACCAGGAGGATGGTAACAAGATGGTTGCAGTGCATCACAAACAAGATTCTTTTGCCTGTTGGCCCAACAGAAAAACAGACCCTAGGCATGCATTTCAAACATGCATTCAGACAAGGAAAAAACTTACAATAACAAAAAAGTTAAAAAAAAAAAGATAAAAAACAAAACCAGGAAACAACAATTTATGGAGCTTGAAGTCAGCAAGCTTCTACTGCAAAGGCCCATCCCATACAAGTTGATGACTCCCAAAGGGTATGATGGACTCCTTCAAAAACTAGTTTGTAGTGCTATGAAGAACCCCAGTGGCACAATGAAGACTTGACAGCCAGTGTCCCTTGTCATCTGCGTTGCAGACAAGTGATCCTGGCCACGCCATGTGGACATAAGCGTGTTGGTGCTTCTGAGTATGTCGCAGAGAGTGTGTGCCAATGTAGCCTATGCATCTGCGATTGCATCCATGATTGCGTGAATACATGAAAATCAACTCTTTTTTTTTTTTTTTTGCAAATAAATACCACCCTGCCCCGTCCATACAATCTCACACCGAGTTTTACTACACTAGCTTCCCTATATTGTAATTCTTTCCCAGCTTGCTTTTTTGAAAGTGGGAAGATGCCTAGCTGTACAGGGACAGCTTCAGAGTTCTATCTCTTTTTGCTTTTTCAGCTAGGAGAGTTATAGCAAAAGCAAAGTAAACCCATAAGGGTAAACCACAATGCTGATACCAATTTTGTGGTTGCAAGCTTAAGAACGGATACGCAAAATGAGATGGCTTATGACAGCCCCATGCTGTCCTGTTTCTCTCAAAATTAAAGCCTTGGGGGAGAAAGGTACATACATGAAAGCAACTTAAAACCTCAAGAAGGATAGGATTTTGCAACTCTGACAAAGCAAAAAACACCATTTTTCAGAGAGCTCTGTCATATAAAGACATATTCAATAGACCAGGTGCTAAAATGGTGAACAGGAAAAGAGAGCCACATATTTAAATAGCTATCCTTTCAGACTTAATTAGCTGACCACAGGATAAACACAAGCACTCCAACAACAACTCAGTAAGAAATAGAACTCGTTCCAGCAGCTGACAATCTTCCAAGATTGATTGCTTGCAGGAAAAAAAGATCATTCACACAGATGGTCTGACAGCAACAATAAAAAATCCTGATTCTCTACCCAATGATTAATTCCCCTGACACGGGAATATATACAGGCAGCCCGTAAGTCAGACAAGTCAGCAACAGGAACAACAGAGGAAAACTTCAAAGATCAAGCCAAAAACACATAGAAGATTGGTCAGATACACCTTCAAAACCAAAACAAAACAGGAAAGGTGTTTTCAATTTTTCAGATTAAGTGAAAGCATTGTCTATAAGTGTAATCAAGCCAGAGTTAACACATTATTATTATCAAAATCTGAGGAACAGGGAGTCACAGACCACAAGTGACTCACAAACCAATGACTCGGCCTTCCAGAAAAATCATGCACATGGCAGAAAAAAAAAAAAAACAAACCACCACCACCATCTTAAGCAGCTCCCTAAGGAATTCAGCAGTATACTGCTGAATACCAATGACAGACTTCATATAATTCAAGAAATACATGAAATTAGAATAGAATAGACTCTTTCAGTTGGAAGAGACCTACAATGATCATCTAATCCAACTGCCTGACCACTTCAGGACTGACCAAAAGTCAAAGCATGTTGTTAAGAGCATTGTCCAAATGCCTCCCAAACACTGACAGGCCTGGGGCATCGACCGCCTCTCTAGGAAGCCTGTTCCAGTGTCTGACCACCCTCTCGGTACAGAAATGCTTCCTGATGTCCAGTCCAAACCTCCCCCGGCGCAGCTTTGAACCATTCCCACGAGTCCTACCCGTGGATCCCAGGGAGAAGAGCTCGGCACCTCCCTCTCCACTCCCCCTCCCCGGGAAGCTGTAGGGAGCCGTGAGGTCACCCCTCAGCCTCCTCTCCTCCAAACTCGACAAGCCCAGAGTCCTCAGCTGCTCCTCAGAGGACATGCCTTCCAGCCCTCTCACCAGCTTTGTTGCCCTCCTCTGGATGCATTCAAGGACCTTCACGTCCTTCTTAAACTGCGCGGCCCAGAACGGCACACAGCCCTCAAGGTGAGGCTGCACCAACGCCGCATACAGCGGGATCATCCCCTCTGGAGCGGCTGGTCAGGCTGTGGTTGATGCCCCCCGGGGTGCAGGCTGCCCTTTTGGCTCCCAGGGCACACGCTGCTGGCTCGCATTGAGCCTGCTGTCGACCAGCCCCCCCCAGATCCCTTTCTGCAGAGCTGCTCTCCAGCCACTCCTCTCCCAATTTACACTTGTGCCCGGCGTTACACTGTCCCAGGTGCAGAATCCGGCTTTTGGACTTGTTAAATTTCATTCCATTAATGATAGCCCAATGCTCCAATCTATCTAGATCTCTCTGCGAGGCCTCTTGTCCCTCCAGAGAGTCAACAGCATCTCCCAGTTTGGTATCATCAGCAAACTTGCTAATGGTGCATTCAACTCCTGCATCCAGATCGGTGATAAACAGTTTGAAGAGAACTGGCCCTAGAATTGAACCCTGAGGAACACTGCTGGTGACAGGTCACCAGCCAGATGTAGCTCCATTTACCAAGCACTGAAGCCTCAAGTCATTGATAACAGCTCACCAAGGCAAAGTTTAGAGGTCCTCTACAACTGAAATAAGGTGATTTTCCATTGTTAGATTTACAACATGCTCTGATTCTACTCGCCAGGAGAAAGAACGAGTACCTACTAACCAATGCTGCATAGAAAAGTGGACAGCATGTATTACCTAAGACAAATGATAATTCAAACCACCAAACCACATCATGCACACCGGTGATTCATGTTTTTAGTGAGTGGGGACTGCCCAGGGGAAAAAAAAAAAAAAAAAGCATCAGCAGAAACTCTAGGTTTTACTTCTGAAGCTGCTGCAGAAAGAAACAAAATATGGCAGATGAAAACTAGAAGGCTGCTTCCTTAAATCATTCCACCCCTCTGGGTAACAGCTATGTGCCCGGCACATTCTCCTCACATGTGATGCAATCCTAGTTCCTTCTCATGTCTCATGCCAGCACTTACTGCCTGACAGCTACAGTGAAAAAAAAAAAACAAACCCACTGCACAAGCTCAAAAGTTCTTCTATGCAAAGTTTTAGCAGCTAAGACAGGAGTTAGGAGCCTCTGCACCATCTTCAACCTCAAATACTCTTGAATTACTGCCACCACTACAGTTGCTGCTGCTTCTGCCTCAACAGACCATGCACAGAGAACTGCAAGTAAGGCGACATCTCTAAAGAGTAAAGCAAAGAAAGAAAGGAACAGCAAAGATAAAAGTGAAGAACGCAGCAAGAGTCAAGAAAGATGGGGGTGGAGGTGATGGAAATAAGAAGGGACATTTGAGACCAGTGTTCTCAGGCCAAGGAGAAAAAAGGCACAGTATCAGAAACAGAGGGACAGCGCAAGGAAGTGCAGCATATCAGGGCTACCATATTATCACCTGCCAACATCCACAAGGCTAGGAAATACCAAATTACTCAGCACGGATGCCGTAGCTCTGTATCATGTGCTCTGCCCTCCCTGTGCAGAGGTGTAGCCCTGCTGCTACCTGCAAGGCTCCTCACTCTCAGGGAGGAGAGCGGAGGAAGCAGGGACAGTGACACACTGGCGTGACAGTATGACAGGAAAGAGAGGATGGAGAGGGTTGTGGTGGGAGTGAGACTCCCCTCTCCTAGAAAGCCAGTGGATGCCTAGAGGTCTCCAGAGTGGACCAAGGCCAGTCACAGAAAGCAAACTGAGTGGAAAGGGAGAGATTAGACAGGTGGGAAGTGACTCCTGCCCCACATGCAGCGCTTCAAGACCCCATGCCTGGTCACGGGAACTAACAGGAAGGCAATACTTGCTGGAGCAGATGCTCAGGTACTAGTATTCCAAACAATTCAAATTATATTGCCCATCAC